GGGGGTTCAGATATTCTTTCAGAGAAATTTTTTTTTTCTTTATATTATCTCGTCCCCCCCCCCCCCCGGTTGCTCAATGGTACGTTGAGGGCTTATAATGCTAAAAATCGGGTTTAGTAGAAATTTTAAATGTAGACTTAATAAATACAAATTGACTATACAAATGAGAAAAATTAATGAATCGGCTTTAACTGAACATATGACGAAGCGCCCTCTTTCTCACAGTGTTAAATTGGGATAATATTTTAATATTAAATACGAACTAAATATAAAGGAATCGTTAGAAATATTCAAGAATTCTTGGTTAACTTTAAATAGAAATTCTGCTTCAGGAGTTGTAATTTTTTTTTCTTTCTGGAAATCTGTTGTAAAAGATAATTAGGCGGCAGCACCTTCTCTTCTAATTGTTAAGCCTAAATTTTGGCATTATCTAAGGTAGGAAGATATGAGAATAATGCTACTCTGCTGTCTCCTTGATGTTAATTGCGGATTTGTGACCCATCGAAACATTTAGAAGCCTTTAGGCAAGGCCTGATTCTTTCAATAAAGTGTTTTAAAATATTTGTATTTTGTAATTTTTAATGATGTATTATCGAGATTTTAATAAGTGTTTTGAACTCAATTTTAATTTAAAACTCACCACGATTGAGAACGATGTGCCGGTTCTACAGGAAAACGTAAATAGTAGAATTGTTAGAGAAATTAGGGTTGTCGATCTATAATTTTTATTTTCTGCAGGAGAAAGAGGAGAAATTTTAGTAAACAAGCCACAGAGGTCCTCAACGAGTACTTTTATTCACACCTTAGTAACCCCTACCCCAGTGAAGAGGCCAAAGAGGAACTAGCCAAGAAATGTGGAATTACAGTTTCCCAGGTGAGAAACACTCTGGATCAGTACACCAGGTTCTGATCTAAATTTAAGACATAAATTTGTTGTATTTATAATAATCCAAACATCTTCTATTAAAGTTAGGCCTAGCATAGCCTGATGGTTAGGGCACTCACTGAATCAGTACACCAGTTTTGCTCTAAATGTAAGACATAAATTTGTTGTATTTATCATAATACAAATCTTGATCCATATTTAGTAGAACAGCGATTAAAACTAATCAAGAAATAGCTGATAATTTAAACGTCTTCTATTAAAATTAGGCCTAGCATATCCTGATGGTTAGGGCACTCACTGAATCAGTACACCATGTTCTGCTCTAAATTTAAGACATAAATTTGTTTTATTTATCATAATACAAATCTTGATCCATATTTAGTAGAACAGCAATTAAAACTAATCAAGAAATAGCAGATAATTCAAACATCTTCTATTAAAATTAGGCCTAGCATAGCCTGATGGTTAGGGCACTCACTGAATCAGTACATCAGGTTCTGCTCTAAATGTGAGATATAAATTTGTTGTATTTATCATAATACAAATCTTGATCCATATTTAGTAGAACAGCGATTAAAACCACAGGCTACTGTAAACGTAGATGAACAGTTTTAGGATTTCTTCTACTTTATAAGTAGTTTAAAACCACAGGCTACTGTAAACGTAGATGAACAGTTTTAGGATTTCTTTTACTTTATAAGTAGTTTAAAACCACAGGCTACTGTAAACGTAGATGAACAGTTTTAGGATTTCTTTTACTTTATAAGTAGTTTAAAACCACAGGCTAGTGTAAACGTAGATGAACAGTTTCAGGATTTCTTTTACTTTATAAGTAGTTTAAAACCACAGACTATTGGATTTCTAGGATTTCTTCTTCTTTTAGATCTCTAATTGGTTTGGCAACAAACGGATCAGGTACAAGAAGAACATTGGTAAAGCACAGGAGGAAGCCAATATGTACGCAGCCAAGAAAGCCGGTAAGCACTTTTTACTTACTCGCATAAAACCGGTAAACAAAGTTTTGACCAGTCTAATGAGTGGCTATTAATGGTAATCTCATCATAGTAATATGTTGGTAAAAATAAGTAGATACACCAATTGTAAATCAAGTACTTTGTAGAGATTTAAAATTCATCTTTTGAAACTAAATATTAATCAAGA